CTGATCAAGGGTCTGAAATCTACCTTCTCTTATCTGAACCAAGTAATAATGAAGGGCCAGGTCATATATATAATGCAATATATTTAAACCAAGTCATCTCAAACATGTTTCATGCAGGCTAAAACATGTTTCATGCAGGCCTACTCACAGATCGCAAGGCAACCTTCAAGCTCAATGGTGAGACTTCTTTAAGTCTCTTTAGAGTAGAAGTGCACCATGCGTCATTTGTTCTACCTGCCTCACATTCCTGCACATTTATTTTTTAAAGCACGCAATCAGATGTTGTCCAAGAGGCAAGAAGGTATAAAGTACAATGATGCCTCAAAGATCCCCTCATTGCTGGAACATGGAAGGTATAACTTCCAAATGAACTTCCTTAAAGCACGCAATCAGATGTTGTCCAAGAGGCAAGAAGGTATAAAGTACAATGATGCCTCAAAGATCCCCTCATTGCTGGAACATGGAAGGTATAACTTCCAAATGAACTTCCACCCATCATCATATGGGGCCCAGAAGAAAACCAAAAGATGCTTACAATATGAAAAATGAATATCTTTTTAAGGAGTTTTTAAAACTTTGTGAGGTAGCTAAGAATTGGTAATGAAGTTATGTGTAGCAGAATCAGATCAGCAATTTGTTTCGGTCAGTCATTGGAAGTTCTTTAAAGAAAGCAAAAACAAAACGAAAAAAAAAAGTTGATAGCACCCTCTCAAGGCATTACAGTAAACCTTTTAAAGGAGGCAACCAAACCATTTTTCACTACAATAGCCCTAAATACTTCAAAGGAACAATGTCCTGAAGATTTCGTTTATCATCTGGAATCTTCTCCATGCAGGAAATCTTCAAAGAAGGTGCTCAGATTGACACGTGAGTAATTTGCCTCCCAGATCAAATAAATCTTTCTCAAAATGACTGCAATTATTTTCTATGTTTCTTCACTTCTTTTATTTTCAGTATAGTAAATATATCATCTACAACGTGATTAAGAGAACTCTCTTTCCAGATTGTTACTTAGAAAGTATCAAATATACTTTTGTTTTCTTTTGAGAGACAAATATAACCTATAATTTAAAACAATTTCAATAATAAATTTAAATGCTAAGGATGGTATAGTACACATACCCTATTCTTCCAACCAATCCACTCCCATCCTACATACCTCACACTCAAATTATCTCCTACTTTAACCCATCATGTTGCATACATATCTCGTGTGTCACTCCTTTGAATTTAAAGAAATAAAATTGAAAAAAGTTAAAACACCATGATCCCCTGAAAATCTTATAGAAATTTTTTATTGGTTTAATGATTCTAAATCTAAACTAAAGAGAAGTAAGTCAAAATTGATACATGCTTACCAAAGCATCAATAATTTCCTCAACCGTGTCATGGCTGAAACATTTATCAACTAATTCAATCCTACACAAACCAGACATGAATACATAAGCTAGCTAAAATCGTTATATATATATATTAAAGGAGCACACAACCACAGTTTGAAAAATTCATACAAAAAACATTTAAATTTGGCTGAAAATATAGAATATAAGGACGATTTGTAAATATTCTAAAATGTCCTTGGAACTAATTGCTATAATTAAAACAAACCTATGAAGCACACTTGTCTCATCTGGATAGACAAGTTCACCATACTTGTCTAAAGAAGCTTCAATGACAGAAGGATCATCAGTGACTATTTTCCCAAGTTCTTCTTCAATTAAAGGAAGCCTCTAGGATAAAAGGAAACAAATCACAAAGGTTATATAACAAAGATAAACCGAAAACAAACTTTAAAAAATGTGGAAAGAGTCCTGAAATTAACTGAACTATGCAAATAGTGTGTTGCAAGCCCAGAAGCAATCATGTCCAATCCATTGAGCCTTTCACCTGTAAGGGCCACGAACTCCCCTACAAACAAGACCAGACATAGGCAAACTGAATTTGGAAAAGTAATGACAGTGGACACTCTCCCATGCAAAAGAATACTATTAGACACAAGATGGGGAAATAAAAAGGGAAAGGGGCCAACTCTAAGGTTAATAGAAAGAAGAAAAAAAAAAATGGATGCTGAAGCACATTATTATATATTTTTTTTTTTCACAGTTGTCTTAAATGAAGAGGCAAAATGATGCCAATTTTAACAGCTCCTCAACATCATTATTTCCCTAAATAACTCCCAGATGCTTCCTCAACTTCAGGAGAAGAAGGAAGACAAATTGAGTCACTTTCACATGAGGGCAGCACGGATTTCAAACCCTTTGGGAATCTCCCAAGCAATTGTCCGTATTTAATATAATTCCCATGATTTCTCTTGTTAAAATACATATCCTCCATCAGTCTGGAGGAAAAAAAGAAAATCTGCAACCTTATCTTTTCTGTTTTTGTCCTTGTACTACAAATGAATAATCTAAAAGCCAAGTTACATGTATGAAAAACCAAGCAAGCATACCTAAGTGACCCGGTAGATGTGACAGGTAAAAGGATGCCCCAGCATCGGGATGGAAACCAATTAGAGTTTCAGGGGTAGCAAATACCTGCAAATTGCAAGGATACACTATAACAGCTTCTACCAGCACATCGATGTAAAGAGGAAACAGTTTTTTATCATTTGAAAAAAAGACAAAGAAGAAGTAATATCAAATTCTTGTCTGACTCCTTTCTCTATGGTGAATAAATGAAGATCCTACTGCTACAGTTAAAAATTGTATACTCAAATATGATATTGAGCAAGCCAAAACCTTTTTTCCCCAAATGGATAGGTTGATTCCACATAAACGATTTGCAGAAATATGAACATATATGATGTCTTTTTGGAAGTACATATGCATTGCACTGATACAGCTGAATATATTATTTCCACAGTTTCAGTTGGTTTAAACTTCCACATAGGGGCGGGGTGGTGTGGGAGGGGAAGCAAATGAGCGACATAGTTAGGAGCAGAAATTACACATCAGATACACAAGTCACTTGTGCTTTTGTATGTCATTTTACTATTTTACTACATAAAGGTGAGCTAGTTTTAAGTGTCCAAGCCAGATTCACACACAAACTGACATAGATGTCGTGCCAAAGTGGGTGCGCAAGATACAGACGTTAGAGAAAGGGAATCAGATGCTTAAACAGTCCCCTATAGCATAAACCCCTTACCAGGCTGTGAAGCACATTTATTTATTTAGTAAAGATAATAATTAATACTGCACCAGAAACACCCATCTGTAGCTTGTACGCTAAATTCTTCAAAGCGCAAGGGACACAAGACATATTCTATACTGGTTAGACTTCCTAAAATAACTTGACATTTTTGCTGCATTACATCAGTCCCAAAACACCTCGACAATGTTTCAGTTCTTTTCATATACTAAGAACTAGTTTTATTCCTTTAAACATGCTCACGTCACAAGCAGTTAGTCATATAAAATTATGAATGCTTGAGTGTAATACAATTAACAGTGGGAGGATTTGCAAAATAGTTGATGGGAATCCTCGTGAAAAAAGAGAACAAAGAACAATGAAATATGGACCAATCACCAAGCCAACAAACATCTACAATAGAGAAAAGTAATGTGTACAAGTATCCTTGTTACATACAGTTTTATCAGTTGCAATGCGGAATGTCCCAGGTATTGAGACCCCAGCACCACCACCCATGGTAATGCCATTCAAGATAGCCACCTGCACGGAGATTAATCATGAACTTAAAAGTGAGAAGAAAATTAAGAAGCGCTGCAAGATTAGGGACCTAAAATGCTTGTTCGCCCAAGAAAGACTCAATAATGATGAACTTACATGTGGCTTCAAACATGTACCAACCATATACATAAATGCATATAGTGTACTAAAAAATTGTTTACATTCTTCTATTTTCCCTGCACATTGTAAGGCAAATTTACAGGACTGTTAACACAATTGTCTGATATTAAGCAGAAAATGAAACCAACTGAGCCATAAAAGAGAAATCTACTTTGCACCCCTTTCAACTGGCTACATAATGCTAACTTCATCAAATTTGAAATCAAGTAAAAGTACGTAAGCCATAAATATATGTTTACAACTTATAAAATTGTTTGATAGAAAATCAGAAGCAAATCAGAAGGGAGTCCTACCTTTGTTTATCATATGATAAAGAGAAACTACATCTCCACCAGCACAAAATGCCTTGCCACTGCCCTTCAAAAATTCAAAACAATTTGTCAGCTGCCACCTGAGTAATCGCAACTAAGCAATATCAGTAAAGCATTGGACCAAAATTGATGAACAAGAAAAACAATCACCTTCATTACAATAAAACCAATATCAGGATTATCTTCCCAGCTTTTGTACAGTTTCTGCAATCTAGCCCCCTGTATACTCATTATGGGAGTTCTTAGAAATGGGTTTCAAAAGAAACCTTAAATAGAATTAAGGGTCTCAAAAAAAATCCGAAAAATGATTGCTTTAAGAGATAAAAACACACCATTGCAGTCGTGAGAGCATTGAGCGCTGAAGGTCTGTTGAGAATCGCTGTCCTGGACCAAGCTTTGCCTTCAACCAATACCTGAGAGACATTTAACAATTAGAGAGCTTGCGTTTCAAGTCTCTGAGCTTAGATAAAAAAGAATAAAGAAATGGGTCATTGAGAAGAACTCACTTGGTGGTCAAGATCATCGTTGAGAGCATGGTCTGGGAGAGAACAGAGGCCTCTGCAATGGCTAAGCAAACGGCAACTGTGAAGGCCGTTTCTTACCAATGAAGCTGCCTTGAACCTCTGCATCTTTCTCTTTCGAAATTCTCTACTCGAAGTCACTACCGAGTAGAACCTGCGAACTCTTCTGATAACATAAACCCGTTTTTCTAATGCCGGAAAGAATTTTTTTCCTTTTTTTTTAAATTCCATAACCCATTTGAGTTTTGAGCATAATGGGCTAATTCAATGTTGATATTTAGCCCACCCAAATTTTAAACCCTAAAAGCCCAATCCTTTTCTTTCTATCGCCGCCTCCGCTAAGCTCTGGCCTCGGAGATTCCGTCGCCTCCCTCTCAGTGTCATCCCTGATCTCAGACCGCCATCGACTCTCTCTCTGTCACTCTCTGCCTCTCTCTCTCTCAAACTCTTCTCAGTCTCCATCGTTTCTGTCTCTATATCTCGAACTCAAACCCTCACCCAAACTGTCATCTCTCATCTCATAGACTCTCAGGCTCTGTCTCTCTCTCAAACTCTTGGACGTCGACGGTCGACCAGGCTCACCATCTGCAGTCTGCAACTGACGAGGTAATTTTTTAACTTAGATTTTTTGTTCCATTTTTATACTAATTGTATTATCTATGATCACACTTTCAAATTTGAAACATTTGATTTTTTTTTTATTATTATACTTATTTTGCTGCTGTTGTGATTAATTATGTGGTTATGCTTAGTTTGTGTGTTTTATAGATAATAGATTTGAATAGGTTATCTGGGTTTTCTGGATTGAAGGGGTTTCTGCATGTGATTGTGGTTTAAATGTTTGTGTAATTAAAGTGATAAATGATAAGTTTGCGTAATCCGCATTGTTGTTGAGTACTGAATTGTCCACATTTCTCAGCCTATATATATATATATCTATGTAATTTCACTTGGATGCTTTTCGATTTTCAAACTTTGTTGACCCGTTCGTTTGTCTGTGTTTCTCCTCCCTATTATCTGTTGTTTTCTTTTCTTTTATGCTTTCAGAACATGGTTCTGTCTACTACCACCTTTGCTCGTGGTGAGAAGGTGGGGTTTCAAATGCTGATATGCTGTGTTAAAATTACTTTGTTCTTGGGATGACTGAATCTTTAAGTGGAGGCACAATTTTTATGTATAATTTTCTTTTCTGACTACTGTTCCTAATATCTTTTCCTATTTGGGTTGGTTTTCATTCAGAACTTAAGCAGAGTCATCTAGTAAATTGTAGCTAATTTCGATTATGTTTCAGCTGCACAATTAGGTAGGTAGTCTGATTGAAGAATGGATAAGACCATGAAAAGCTTAATTGAGCTTGAGACTGAAGCCGAGCATCTCCTTTTAGCCCGACACCAGGTAATTGTGTTTTATATTCTCTGAGAAGAAGCTGAGAAGTTGGAAAGTTTAAGCTCAGAGATTCTTTTCCTTTTTGCAAACAAGTTTGAACTCAAAGATGATAGTACATTTCACATGTTTCAATAACAAATTGATTGGATTAAAAGATTGGAACCAAATGATTATGTTTTAGATACTGTAGATTGTATATAACTGGCAAGACAAATTAATCTATTCCATCATGGTTATCTGGCTTGATTATTCGAAAAATTCCCTTTTGGTTCCTTAATAACTAATATGTTTAATTGAGTTTTGTTAATTGATCCATCCCAGTACAATTAAGTGGCTTTATTATGTGAACAAATTCAAGTTTATTATAAATGAATATATTTTATTGGGTCTTGTTAGGAAGACATTGAAGGGATTATGTTTGTTATGGTGAAAATGCAGCTAGTTGAAAATGACAGGGTGAGGAATGGGAATAGAGAAGCACTTACATCTCTGAGGAAGATAGCTCGGACAACCAAGACTAGTGTTCCATCTCCCTTTGAGTCGATAATGAAGGAGATTGTGGGGCCTGAATCAAGACCTTTGGTGAAGGAGGTATGCCCCACATGCGGCAACCATGACTCAAATCAGCGCACTTGGATGATGTTCCCAGGAACTGATGTTTTTGCAAGGATTCCATTCCATGCTGCCCATACTGTCTTGGAGTCAGGTTTTCTTTCAGGCCTCTTTTTCCTTTTTCTTTTTGTGCAATTATTTGGGAGCATAACCAACAGTAGTAAGTACACAAGAAATATTTTAAGAGGCTTTGTTTGAGTTCTTTAGGAAATTTGGTGTTGTCAATAATCAGGTGTAGACTTTTGATTCAAAACTTCTTCTTTTCTTTTTATTTTGGTAACTTTAGAAAACAGTCATTTTTCTCAACTTATATAGTACTCAGAGTAAGATTCTTGACTGGTCAAATTGACAAACAATATCTGAATAATGAAAACCTTGGTGGCTATCGGGTGGGATAGGTGGTATAGTTCTTAGATTTTAATGCCTTTGTTATTGTAGTTTATAAGGTTTAGAGTATAAGGAAAGAATCAAAACAAGTGAATAAAGGAATAAGAAGTTGAAATCTTTTCTGAACTAGGATATCCATTGGTAGCCCTTGTGAGCTTAAATGATTAAATAATCTATGTAGGATCTATAAAGAAATTGATAGAGCAATTTATGAATCTACCAAACTCCTTAAGCTCTAGAATTACCTTCCATTCAATAGGGCTATAGATGTTTATAAAGATATCATCTCCTGATATGCAACTTCCCTTAATCTCACAAAAGCTGTGCTCGAGATTATATTAGAGAATTTGAAATGGAGATGAGAGGGATCTGTTCATCAGAAAGCTTAATGCATGGTTTTTTGCTTCTGCTGAAAAGTTTTCAATCCAACTGGTTATTACTCAAACTTTCTTATGTTCCTACTGGTTAATGGATACATAAAGGAATTCAGTTGGGTTTTGAGATGAACGTTGCTGTATGGCTGTTTTGTCTCTCATTACTGTCTAAAGTTGGGAGTACAGCTCATGAACTCGCAGAATTCATGAGTTGTCATCTGTGCTTTCTCATATATATGTGTGTGTGTGTGTGTGTGTGTGTACATATATGTGTTAGTTAGATTGTTTTTAATTTAATTATTTTTCAATTACTGATTCTGAAACTTAATTTTGCCCTTGGCATCCAGAACAAGAACAACTTGACTTCGATTCTAGAAGGCTGCAAAGCATTGTGAAGGAAAAGTCCCTTTTGATTTCAGAAAAAGGTGTCCTTGCAGACAAGGTCTCTCCGGGTGTGATGAAGTCTTTGGTAACCCTGGCAGACAAACCAAAGTGAGTTGTGCTTGATGCATTGATATTCAATCCCATTGTAACCTCACATCCACTCCCAACTAAGGATAAAGGAATGAACATTAATCTCTCTGGCTAGCATTAGTAAGTTAGTAACATAGCTCTGTGTAGACTAGTGTTAATTTCTCAACCGATGAAAAATGTATAGGAAAGTGATTGTGTTTATCTATTGAGGGATTCACGAGTCTTGTAAGATGTTATATTTTTGCACACTAGTCATAGTAGTGCTCATTTCCTCACCAGAAAATATCAATGGTAAGACAGGTTCTGCAGGATCCCCGCACACTAGTGCTTCCTATTGTATGTTTTGTCTTTGTTTGTCCTTTTAAGTGCCAAGTTTGCTTCCCCCTTGCCCAAAAAGATTGGTGTCGGGTTCAAGGACCATTTTGTTTCATATGTACAGAGTCTGCTGTGTGGAAGTTTCATGTGTGCTGCCAGCAGAAGTGAAGGTAAATGTAATGGGCTTATCTTGTTTAGTATTAGCTGCCACAAATGCCCCCTTGCTGGAGGTTTCAGATAGAGACTTTAGTTTAGGAGTCTATAACATAATTTTACTTGGACTAAATAGAAATCAATATGGCTGCTCTGTTTTCGTCGTGTTTGTGTGCTTCTGCTTATAATATAAATAAAGAATTGCTGACAGAGAGAGAGAGAGAGAGATTGCTTTATTTATTTATAATAAAAATAAAAATAAAAATAAAAATAAAAAGTCGCTGATAAGCACAAAGTGGGCCCAGGTTTCACTTTTGGTCCGCTTTTATTTCGAATTTATTTATTGGCATCCGAGTACCGGTTTCAGCCTCCAATTACTGGTGCCTATTTGCCCTTTTCAGAAGAAAATGTAATTTTTTATGGGGATTCTTTTGTCACTTATTGTTTCCCTTTTTCTTCTACTTTTTTATTTTTAAATACCCATTTTATTCTTACTTATCCTCTTTTCAGAAATTAAAGTTTTTTTTTTTTTTTTTTGGTTTTTTGGGTGTGTGTGTTGGGGGAAAATATCTTCTCCACATCTCACCTCACTCTTTTCCCTATGTTGGGTAAGACATGACTGCATGGAAGCGGATCAAGAAACTAGGGTTTGGTATTTCAAACTATAAATCGAGGAAGTTGGCCAAATTAGACCCATTAGCTTGAGTTTGTTTTGTTTTTTTGTATGTTGGGTGAGACATGACTACATAGGAGAAGATAAAGAAACTAGGGTTTGCCATTTCAAACTGTAAATCGAGGAAGTTGGTTAATTAGACCGATTAACTTGATTTTGTTCGGGTTTTTTGTTTGTTTTAAAATTAGTGTTAAACCGTATTAAACCGGCTATTTTTCTTCAAAACTCATTGTTTCTACGTGTATTGATGCTATTAAATGGGCTTTAACCTTATCATACTATTCTCCCAACATTGAATCAACCCGCCAATAACCTTAATTTCTTCCTCTTTTCTCGCTTCTCTTGGAACCGTTGTATTTCTCTTTTCTCTCCATCTCTCTTTTAGTCGTCTGTAAATCATTTCTTATTTTCTCTCGCATTGCAAATATCGCCGTAAATAGCAATCATGCCGTGATTTCATGAAATGATTTAGTTAATTAATTTAAATGTAAAGGGTGTTTTGATAATTAACATTGTTCTACTTTGAAGCCACTTGCTTTCTCTCTCTTAGCATAGATCAAGAATTTTTGACGGTTTGATTAAAGGAATTTCTCCTTAATCGAGCTATTGGAGTTGCTTTCAATGACTAAACACCACCAAATTAAAGTTAAATAAATCCAAAATCGCATTTCAGATCCGCTCAGCCAACATTAATCTTATGGACTAGCGTTTCTTATGACATTTCTTCATTTGTTATTGTCCTAACACGCACGTTGATGAATAAATTAGTTATAAAATCAATTAGAAAGGTCGGCAGAAGGAGCTAATCATCATCAACTGTCATTAAAAAAAAAAAATTAAAAACAAAAACTCTAGCAGTGGGGCTGATGGATGGTGATGGTGATGATCGTGAAGGAGGTGATAGGTGGGTTGGCAAAGCTACCTCCCCTAATCCCTTGTGGGGTTAGGAAATTTAATTTGATATTAATCTCTAAATTCTGAATCAACTATCACAAACAACGACACAAAACTAACTTAGCCATCATTCTTAACTAACTAGCCCATAATTACTCTTCAAAATATTTAGCTACTTTGTCATCATATCTAAAAGCAATCATCAAATCAATTATACTTTGTCTCTACAAAATGTGGCTCATGAACGAATGCTTTATTACCTAGTTGAATTAAAAAGAAAAAATGGTGTATGATATGATTATTAGGTTTTTATGCCAATTATTAAATGTTATTTGGATAGAAGTTACAATTAGTTATAATTTTTTTTTTTAAAGTAACTTATAAAGGAGATAAATTGCAGAAAGATTTTTTCAGTGAAAGCTGCACATAGATGGATGCCATAAATATAAAACCTGCCATAGGTCGTCTAATGTGGGGTCTATTTATTGAGCCCAGAAGACTTGACAGTTAAATGGTTAGGATAAGAGTTGGTGCCTCGATATAAACTCTTGGAGCAAAATATTTACCATTTCTTTTTATATTTTCCTTAGTTTTCTTTCTTATTAAATTAGGGTAAATATATAAATTTGGACCCTATTGAAAACGTTATGTAAAAAAGAAAAAGGGAAATTTGTCGAAATTAGGATTAAAAATATATAAGTGTGAGGTTGGACCCTATCGTTTTTATTTTGTCACCATTGGCATTGCAATAAAATATCCAGACATGTGTTGAAGACATCGCTTTCTCTCCTCCTAAATTGGTGAAACATTTATAGGTGGATGGGGTTAAACCCAAAAGATATCTAGTTAGGATAAAGTATTTATCAACTTTGGTGATCCATTCACTCGTTTTCTTTTCTTCGCTTTCAATTATATTTGCAGGACCTCGGTGATCGTATTCCAGTATGATATAATAATTAGTTTGTTGAAATAATTATAAACTCATGAGAATAATTTTATGATGTGGGATGTTAAATAATTCAAAAATATTATAATATTGTCTACTCAAATTATTGCTTATAAAGCTTGAGTTGGGTCGCTTTCAATAATCAAGAAACAAAATTCAAGCCTCCTCGAAACAAAACCAAACAAAACCATTTACGAAATTTTTATAATAAAAAAATAGAAGAAAATAAAAGAAAAGGTCGAAGGAAGGTAGTAGATATAGAAAATGATGATCCTCTCTGCTCCAAAGTGATGAAAACTCGACACGGCAAAACAGATAGTGGGCCCCTCATTAAATTACCATAACCGTGTTACGGAGGGAGAGAGGGGGAGAGAGGCATGGCCATTACCCACAAGGACACACAAGTCACCTACAGCCAAGCCAAGCCAAGCCACAGTGTTTGAGGAGAAAGAGTTTCCCTTCCCAATTCCTCCACAGTCCTAACTAGTTGGACACAGAATTTCATTCATTGCCTTCGTTGCAATAATAATTAGGGTGAGGCTGGACAAAATTGTAATTTTGAGAAAGAGAAACTGATCCACTAATCAAGTCCCTCTGCACAATCCGCTTCATTACTCTCTTTCACTTCCTCCTCTGTCTCCTCCCTCCCTCCCTCCCTCCTTCCCCCTCTTCTATTCGCACTTTGCTTTTCACCTTTTAGCCTCTCTTTCTCTCTCTCTCTCTCTCTCTCTTCTTAAGCAAACTGGGAAAGAAAGAAAACCCACCCCATTGTTTCCATCAATGTGACTATTTGAGTGTGTCTCAGTCTCACTGTGATCTTTATATATGAGCTAAGCCCTCTTTTCAGAGAAAGCTTGTGAGAATTGGAAGAAAGGTAGCTGCAGACACCACCACAGTCAGTGAGTGAGTGACTGACTGACTCTGTTACTGTGCCACTCTCACTCTCATACACTCAATTTTCAACAAGCTAGAGAGAGAGAGACTGTATGTACCCGTAATGTTCATCTAACTGACACGTCATCATCTCTTTGCCCATTGCAGGTTCTTTTCTTTCCCTAAAAAGACCTCGTCGGAAAGGGCGCCCCGGCAAAGACCCACGAGATCATTACCAAAATGCTGGACTACGAATGGGGAAACCCCTCCACCGTCATGCTCTCCCCCGACAACGACCCCGGATCCGACCCCACCCGACACCACCACAACACCGCCATCATTTTCGACCACTACGCCTCCCAAGCCTCCGCCTTCAACAACCTCGTCCCTCCTCCTCCTCCGCAGCAACAGCAATCTCACAACGCCGCATTCGCCCACCACTTTAACTCGGCCCAGGCCCAGCAGCTCCACTCCATCTACGACGCCCAAGCCTATGCTAGCGCTTCGGCCTACGCGCCTCCAAACCACCACCCTCTGCTCGCCCTTGACCCGATCCACGGCGGCGCGGGCCACGGGCTCATTCTAGTCCCGAAATCCGAGGACCTGTGCCGGCCCGTGGACTTCGCATCGAGGATCGGGCTCAACCTCGGCGGCCGGACCTACTTCTCCTCCGAGGACGACTTCATGAACCGGCTCTACCGCCGTACCCGACCGGCCACCGAGACCGGGTCGACCCACGCCCCGCGGTGCCAGGCCGAGGGCTGCGCCGCCGACCTCTCCCACGCCAAGCACTACCACCGCCGCCACAAGGTCTGCGAATTCCACTCCAAGGCCTCCACCGTCATCGCCAACGGGCTGACTCAGCGATTCTGCCAGCAGTGCAGCAGGTTCAAAATTACCCCTAATACCCCTCCCCCGATCGCGTAATGACAGAAATGCCCCCGGGGTCTTGCTTGCTGTTCTCCTCCCGCCCGGCCAATGATTGGCGAAATCCCGTTCGCCGTACACGGGGGTCGATCCCCAAGGGCATTTGCGTCCGTATACAAATTATTACGTGCCCCGTTTTCCGTTTGGTTTGATAAATGCACGTGAGCAAGGGTTTTTCATGTCTGAAATGATAAAAAAACCCTGGTCTTGCTGTGGATTGACGAGAATGGCCATGGGAGACGAATCATGTTTGGTGCATGGCACAATGATTGGCGCGTCCGTACATGTGGGCGATCCCGAGGGCATTTCAGTCCGTGAAAAATATTATACCCTTTTTTGGGTTATTGCGCTTGCCGTTTATGGAAAGAATGTGTTGAAATTGATTAATTAGACAGTTAACCAACTACTTAACTAAATTACCTTTATGATTATTAATTAATAAACTATAATTAAATGCAGCATTTTGACTATATTTTGTGGTAACTTTTTCTTGCAGATTTCATCTTCTTCCGGAGTTTGACAACGGAAAGCGCAGC